CCAAGCTCACGATCCCTCATACAAAACCCATCGATGATAACCTCTAGCCCACGACTTTCGTCCAAGGGTTCTCCCACAGGGTTACCTTGGTCAAGGATTGCCAGGAAGTTGGATTCATGATGAATTCGAGGGTCCCGCCTCGGCCTAGGACACTTCCTTACTCCTTCACACCCAGCACACTCTTCGGCCTGAAGGATTGGGGGACTAGGGGACTACATCGGCCTCCCAGACTGAAAAAAACTAAAATAATAGAAATTGCAAAAAGGCAACAACACATCGGCCTCAACGCATGCTTCGCATCGGCCTACAGATAAAAAATTCAAAAGGACATATTAAAAGTCACACTTCATCCATCAGATAGCTCTAGGAACCGCACCACGGCCAAACATGAGGTAAAACAGCTACACAACGTCTACAAACATATGGCTCAGCCTCGGCTAAGGTCAAACCGTGAGTATTATTCTACTCCCTTTCACTTCATCACATCTCAGCTCAGAGAGTGGGGAACTCCTGATAGAGTATATGGGCCGAGACACTAGCTCCCACATACATAGAAGGCAAGCACAAGGACCACAACGCTTAGATGGCCCTCCATTGGCCAAACTCTATCATCCTAGAATATAGCCCGGAAGCCCAGGAACAGAGGACAAGTCCTCCATTGGTTAGGCCCTCCATCGGTCAGTCCCCTCTTTGGCTAAGTTAGCTCCAGCAGAGTAGATTTTATACTTAGCTTCGGAATGTCATGTAATCAGCCCATTAGAGGCCTTATTTTGTACTGGGCCTCCTAGGCCTAAGTCCTGGGAGTCCAATCCATATTTCCTCTATAAATACTCTCGTATGGGGTAGTTGTAAGGGGTTGAGAAATACTCCCTCCGTCCCAAAATTATCTTTATTCTTTCCATTTCGGTCCATCCCAAATTTATCTCCTTATTTCCTATTTTAACAAGTTTTTCCCTATCCATTTACCCTAATACCCTTATATATCTACCCACATTTATTACTCCTAGTTATTCTAATTGGAAACCACCCACCCAACCTTACATATCCCCACATTATACGCTCCTCTCTCTCATGCCTCGTTGTATTCCTCTCTGGTCTGTTCTTGAACTTTCTCTCTTTCTCGTGTGATTACAGACGCTCCTCTCTCTCCTTTACCTGAACTTTCATCTTCTCGCCTCTAAGTCCATCTCCCCTAGTAGCCATCTTCATATTTGTGCAACTTGTATGAAGTCTTCTCCACTGACACCAGATTTGAAATTGTAGATCCATTAATGGCGGAAAAAACCTCAATCTTGGTCATGCATGGCGATGTGGTGGTTAAAGACTCAGACGATGCCTCCTGTTGGCCCGACATCGTCCCTGATTCCAAAGATGATCTGACATTGATAAGAGTTGAAGACAGTGAAGATCAAGGAGTTTGGAGTGATGTTGGGCGGAAAGTTCAAGGATTACAAGAGGGGTTGCAACCGGACACTATAGAAACTAGGATTCCATCCTCCATTGAGAGCATGGCCGCCATTTACCTTCGTCTAGTAGATACAACGACAGGGGAGTATTTTCCACCAGCGTATGTTCCTCCGCATCCAGACCCAAAAAATCAACAGCGTCTTGATGAAATGATTCAAATATGGCTACCTCTTTACAAAAAATGAAGGTCGTACATCCCTACTTACTAATCTTTTCATCTTCTTCTGTCAGTGCATGTTTTCATTTGCACAAATGTTGATATATGTGTCCTGTGATGGCCTAAGGTAGTCCGTGTTGTTATTTTGTGATGAAATTTAAACTTTGAGAATGTATATGTTGTTGCCTATGTGTTTTCCCTATTTGCGGAAGTGCTGACTGCCTTAAGCCACAAGGTTAATCCTATGGAGGCTTAAGGCAGCCCTGTGTGGATTCTGTGATGCATTATGATTTCTGAGAACCATGTGTGTTGATGCCTATGCTTGTGCCCTAGTTTCCTAACTGATGTCTGCCTTAAACAACCAGGATAATCCTATGGAGGCATAAGGCAGCCTTGTATGGATTCTATGATGCATTATCAATTCAGAGAATCCTGTTTGTTCATGCCTATGTGTGTGCCATAGTTGCCTAAATGATGATTGCCTTAAGCAACCAGGATAATCCTATGGAGGCTTAAGGTAACCCTGCATGGATTCTATGATGCATTATCAATTCTGAGAATCCTGTTTGTTCATGCCTATGTGTGTGCCCTATTTGCCTAACTGATGACTGCTTTAAGCAACCAGGATAATCCTATGGAGGCTTAAAGCAGCCCTGTATGGATTGTATGATGCATTATTAATTCTGAGAATCCTGTTTGTTCATGCCTATGTGTGTGCCCTAGTTGCCTAACTGATGACTGCCTTAATTAAGCCACAAGGTTAATCCTATGGAGGCTTAAGGCAGTCCTTTGTGGATTCTGTGATGATACATTATAAAATCTGAGAATCCTTGATTGCCTTAATTATGAAAGTCTGCTTGTATATTCAAAAGATAAGACAAGATGCCTTCATAACTTATGACAGTGTTGTTTGTGTACATTATCTATATGTGTACCCCAAACCCAAAAAGACAAAAATCCAAAAAAACTGTCTGTTTGTAGCTAGTGCATACAAAAAACCAAAAACCCAAAAACACTAGTACCTTGTCTGCTTGTACCCAAAAATCCATCTGCTTGTACCCAAAAAGCCAAAAACACTAGTACCTTGTATGCTTTTATACAAAAACCCAAAAACCCAAAAACCATCTACTTGCAACCTACTCCTGAGCATTAACACCCTCCAACAATTGCATCACCTCTTTCACTATTGTTGTGTGTGCATTCACTGAAATAGATAGTTCCCCCATCCCTTGTAATCTGTCCTTACCAATATGGGGTAATTTGTAGTTGTTCCCACCCTTAGCATTCAATATTTCATTCATACACAGTTGTAGTGATACTCATACCGTGTTCAAAGTCCTCAAATGCTTTCCTCACCCCTGCCACCAATTCTGAAACTGTTGAATTTGATGTTGTTTGTTGTAAGGACTGAATTGCTCTAAAAAAACCCTAGGTCTAGCACATTTACATTAGGACTATTAGGCGGTTGACATGCTAGTTTGATGTTAAATCTCACACCAGTAACCTCCTTAGCTTCATGAACTCACTGTCATTAGGACTTATATGTGGTTTGGCATTATCTTGTTGTATATATATGTCCCCAGATGCATCAATTGGACATTTGGCCTTGATGGCAAGCAGACCTTTACTGATTAGGCATTGTCTGTAAATTTCTTTTGTTACATTGTCAATTGCCTTTTCTTCAATTGCCCCTGCAATTCTGTTTTTGTTGTTTCTTTTTTCTAGCTCAAATGATGTGAAGGGGAAAATACCAATTTTTCTGTCAAATAAGATTTGTGAGTCTTCTCAAAACCTGGACCTAGCAACAGCACAGAAGAACACCACTTTGGTGATGAACCTCTTAGACTTGCAAATCCTGTGAGGCTCCTCTTCCCCTGGAAGCAGATAGTACACGTGTGAGGTTTTGGTCATATAAAACCATTTTTCATCTAAATGCACATAGTTTAACATGGGCTGAAACAATGGTTGTGTTAACATTGATGCTGGGACTATGTGTGAAATGACCCATTCAAGTCTCTTAATCATGTTTGACTCAGTAAGAAAGGGTTTGATAGCATTTGTGTGTGCCTTTAATTCACCTTTTTGTACGAGTATGTGCACAATACTTTTGGGATATCCCATGGCTGCAGCTAGACTCCTGATATTCTTTCTTTTATCAAGCTCTATGCCCTTAACATGACCAATAGGTAGAATCCTTGCTTTTCTACCTACCTTTTCAGCCATCTGTATGTCCACATTTATAAGTAAACCTTCCATCTCACATTTCTTTACTTGCTTCCAAATGAATGAGATACACCTTTGTGAAACATCATTTTCTATTGCAAGTGTAGTTAGTACTCCTCTGTTGAGCTTACCATCTGAACGGTTGATAAGAAGATGTTGCATGATTCGTTGCCTTGTTTCACTAGAGAGCCTCTTTGCCTTGTTTCACTGGACAGCCTCTTTTTTTTTTATTTTTTTTGAACAATTTCTGTCATTTCCGTTTTCTTGTTGTTTGTACTTTAGCTATTTTGAGAAAGGTTTGGTCGTATATATAGACACTAATCTGTGTTGTTTTTAATTTTTGGAGGGAGTGAATTTTTTTTTTTTGAATTCCCGCCACTACTAGTGGAGCAGAGTATTTGCTCCATGTTTTTTTAGTGGCCGCTGCTTTGTCTTGTATGTAGCAGTCCAAAAAGGCTGCTACCTTTTACTCTGTACTGTTTATTACCCCTTTCTAGGCTGTAAAATACTCAAGGACAGAAATGGAAAGTCAAACCAAAACAGTGCCCTTTCTTAACCTCCGTGCCCAGTCAAAACCGAAAATAAATATGGGACGGAAGGAGTATTAATTACTAGCATTTTCTCTCTCTAGCTCTCATTCTCTTTAGATCTATACTCTATCAGTTTTCCTTTTATTTTTTTCCTTAAATAATTATGAAATAAAAAGTACACATTTCGATGTGGGAAAAAAATCATTAAAAAATTGTTACTTTTATTTTTCACTTTTTTCAATTTTAATAAAAAATTAATTGATTCCATGTAATGCTAAAATATTTATGGAGGCACCATGTATTAAAAATTTGTATTTTGTAGTTTTTTGGGCTCAAGAAAACTCCAACAATTAAAATTTTATTTTTTTTACACTTTATACATGTAATATTGGTGTCATATGAAAGATATTAAAAGTTTATGAATTTTGATATATTTTTTGAAAAGTTTGGATAAAAAAAGGTTAGAAGAATTTAAAAGAATTGGGGTTTTATGACGTAGGTGATCACATATGGCCTACCTCTACACATGGCCTTAGTCTTACATAGGACATAGGGTAATGTCCCTAGTATTTAACAAGCGTTCCATCTCCGCTATCGGCACCATCATCACCGTAGCAAAGCAAATTAAGCAAGAGATTAGAGAGCCAATTTTAACTAATTCTCATAACTAACAGCTCGATCGTCAGCGCTACGCACTCCTTTCAAATTCGTGGGAATGGTGGCAAGTAAATGGAAAGCTTTTAATTGTCTATGGGTGATTGCTCTTGCACTGGGAATTATAGGTGTACTATGTGGGATTATTGCAGCAGTAATCGGTCGTCGTTATAGGGTATTTATATACGATTTGTACATTACTACTCCGTACGTACTACATTCATGACAGCATACAGGGGTGTTAATTGCGAATTGATCTTGTTTGTTTTTTTAAACGCATGGGTAGGGGAGAGCATCGGACGGGTTCGGGTAGGACGGGTGAGGATTTGGCAAACCCGTTCGGTTATCGGGTTAGGAATTTAAAACCCTACCCTGTGGAATAAAAATTTCGGGCTACTTGGGTTGCCCAATTTCGGATTCCGGTCGGTTTTTATCGGATATTCGGGTTGATTCGGGTAGATTAAAACCATTAAATAACACAAAATTTTGTAGAGCAATACAACATTAGATTAGAGTTTGTACTTTTAGTTTGTACAACTCCATGTCTCCAAACACAGTTAGTTACTTATACAGTTGTTACTTAAATACTTAGGATGTTTTTACTTGGACTGTAATTTGCCCCAGACCAGACCAGACCAGACCAGTCCAGACCAGACCAGACCAGTTCAGACCAGACCAGACCAGACCAGACTTGGATAGTTATAAAAATACAAAGAAACCAGACCTTACCAGACCAGACCAGACCAGTTCAGACCAGACCAGACCAGATCAGACCAGACCAGACCAGACCAGCAAATTACAGTCCAAGTAAAAACATCCTTATACATAATAGAGAATAGAGTTTGAGTAATCCAAACTTCCAAAGTTCCAAAATATCAAGTACCAACAAAAAAATTAACATAGTTCCATGCTTCCTGGAGTTCCTGCTTCCATTTCTTCACATATACATTCCTACTTCCAGAGTTCCATCACTTCCATGTGTGTAGGCAGTGTAGCAGACCAGTATCATAATAGTCAATTAGTCATTCAATATGTTCCTAGGTAAATGACTTGTCAAAAAATTAGTACAAGTGTAGTATTTAGGTTTCAGATTTAGCTTTTGGTTCAGAATAAATTTGTATGAATACTATATACAATCAGGTTTGGCTCAGGTTTAGCTTCACTTCACAATAAATGGGGGCATTCAAACCTATATAGAAATAGAATCAATACCAACCCATTTGTTTTTTCAATATGGTAGAAGTGTAGAAGGCTAGCACTCTAGCAGAGTAGCAGCTTTCATCATTGCCAGAAATAAGTAAACAATAAATGTAAATGGGGGCATATGAAAGTACATAGAATGATAGAAATAGAACCAACACAAGCTGCCATCAATTTCATTACTCGGTCAAAGCTATCATCATTACCAAATATATGGAACACTGGAACAAATAGTATACAAATATAACATCATATTCAAGTACTTGTTGCAAAGTGCTAGTAGACAGTAGTAGGGACATAGTTTGGCTCAGATTTGCATTCACTTCACAATTAATGGGGGCATTGAAACTATATAGAAATAGAATCAACACCAGCTACCATTAATTTCATTACTTGGTGGAAGCTATCATCATTACCATAAATATGGAACACTGGAACAAATAGTATAGAGTGACAGTATCAAATTGAAGTAGTTCCAACATAGTGCAAGTAGCAGGGGCATAATTTGAGTAGAGAAAGGCAACTTCAACACTTGTCAGAAACTCAAAATAAATCAACCATCATATTTAGTTCTTTACTCAGCAAACTGTATTAATCAATAATCAAAAATCATTGGTTATAAAAAATATTTGTATCAAAGAATCATAATTCTGATGACCAAATTTGTATTCACAGAATGACATAATAACATATTCTCAGACATGGGTCACATGACCAAAGCATCACAGAATGAACAGAACATCATACATTCATATTAAAGTCTGGAACGATATCAGCAAGCTTCCACCAGAATTAACACAACATCATACATTCATATAATCTCACAATCGCACAGGAATCATCGAGGCATCACAGATAAACAAGTAGTTCATACAAAGGATTTCACATTCCGAATCTAGGGTTTCAAGCTTCCACCAAACACATAATAGTGCATCAAAATAACATAACTAATTCATTTACAAAACTGATAACACATCACACAGGCTTCCACAGTTCCACACTTCCACCAAAGCATATTTCAAAGCCATTTTTTTAAATCGGAAGATGCATGACCAAACATTGAGTTAAGTATTTAACATTTATACCTCAGAAAGATCAAATAATTCAGATAATCGAATGGGTTGCAACTTGAAAGCTTCCACAAATCCACAAGGACCACAAGGACCACAAGGTCGATCGGCTTCCACACGACCACACTTCCACACTTCCACGGTTCCACACTTCCACGGTTCCACAGACTCAGAGAGTGACTGAGAGTGACTGAGTGTCTGAGTGGTTAAGCTGGAATGTTGGATGCCGATGGGCGATGGTTACTTGGTTAGAGAGAAGTCGGAGTAGGGGAGAGAGTCAGAAGAGTGGAGGCGCTGAAGTAGTGAAGTGGTAGGGTTGGGTTTAGGGCAGAATATTAAGTATATATACTAAGGGTAGATCGGGTTTTCGGGCGGGTCGGGTAGGCATTTATAATACCCTACCCGTAACCCATAACCCTTAAAAAATGGGCTGGGCTTTTCGGTTCGGGTTGTCGGGTTCGGGTAGACCGACCCAGGCGGGTATTTGAGAGCAAACCCGATCGGGTTTTCGGGTGGGTTCGGTTTCTGCTCACCCCTACGCATGGGTAGAATCGAAATCACATTTTCAGAAAGTATTCTCCTTCAATTTCTAAGGGAAAGGACTAAAACATTTTGAAAATTCTAAAATAGGACTGTCATGTTTTTTATTCCCAAAATAGGAGTAATTACTGTCAAGTTTGGAAAATACTGTCATGTTTGAAGCCTGGTATTGGCAAAACATGACAATAATTAGTCCTATTTTGGGAATAAAAATGTGATAGTCCTATTTTGTAATTTTCAAACTTTTGTAGTCCTATTTCAGATAATATTCTCAATTTCTAAAGAATTGTTTCTAAGAACAAGCTGTTTTTGCTCCTTTAAAGATGCAGTTTTAAAAAGTAGATCTAAACGCTCATATACGAAGTACTTCTTAAATCAACACACACATAATATGTGTGTGCACGGCAGAGGTGGGGACAGGGGAGACTGACTGTGATGTATTATGTATATACATTTGTATAAATATAGTACTCCCTTCGTCCCAATATAAAAGGCACATTTGCGTTTGGGAAGTTTTTAAGGGTGAATACTGTTTGAACACTGTTTGACACTGTTTAGACACTGTTTGGCACTGTTTGGACACTGTTTGGCACTGCTTGGCACTGTTTTGCACTGTTTTGTTTGCCAAAAAGGGAAATGTGCCTTTTATATTGGGACGAACCGAAAAGGAAAGTGTGCCTTTTATATTGGGACGGAGGGAGTAATATTTTAAGTTTTGACCTCCAATAGAAATTCCTTCCGCTCCGGCCTCCCTAATATGTCATTTCTGGCTATGCCACTGGTGCAGATACAGGTTCCAGAGGACGTTGCGCTTCAATGTAAAAGACCGGGCTGGGCAGTAGTTCCGGCGTTAGCATCTCACATGTTGTCTGCTATCATTGCCGTTCTTCTTCGAGCATCTGTTCCCGTTGCTAGTAAATGTGTGCGGACGCTCTGGGTTATTGCAAGGTACGTAGCGTATTTAATTGTCCCGCTCGGTTTCACTTGTGTGCGTGGTAATGATGTTTTTTTATTGGACTCACTTCATGCCAAATCACATGAGATCATACCAGACCAGACTTTAACAATTACTCAGATAGAACTGACATCTACCACGAGGCCCACGAGACTAGAAACTAAATAGACATGATCGATATTAACCCGACCGACCGATCGATCGATAACCCATATTAGAAAATTTCAATGTAATTAAAAACATGGTTAGTGTATATATGTGTCTCCCTAGCTGCCGGCTAACATATACGAAGTATAATTAATGTGGATATGCATGGGCCGGCGCCGCAGCCTCGTATATCTTGCACTATACGGGTTTCTCCTTTGCAAAACATGGTTTTGGACAAGGTCGTGTGAACTGGCAACGTACTTAATGAGTGTGGTTGGAGTTCTGATTGCTGCAGGAATCTGTTTTACCGGTTTTAATGCATATATTATGAGAAAAGCTCGAAGGTATTATTGGGAGGGCATATCGGTCTAATACTTTGTACCTTTATCATACACCCGGATGTCTCCGTATAATAATACTTTGTACCTGTTGTAAAATCGTGAGAATGACAAGTGTGAATGGTACATCTTTATCATTAAGACACCAAGCTATTCATGGTCCATTGATCATTGTAATAAACCTACTCATCTAATTCATGTCGTTGTAATCACAGATAGAGAGGTGAGTAGATCTAATATTGCCAGCAAATAGGGTTTGTTCAATTCTTTGAAAATTCATTCAGAAAATTTCATATACAGAAGAAGAAATTCAGAGCTTATTATTAATATATCTATCTTATAAATCTAGTCTTCATTTTCTTCATTTCACAACACGTTATCCACACGAATCTGCTCAAAATCTTCAGCAATCACCATCTCCTCAAATGAAGATTCAACTTCTTTAAATGAGGAAGATATTCCAGATAATAATAGAAACGTTGATAATTATGAAATTTCAATAAACTACGTTTTTACTAGAATGCAATGGAATCGAAAAGATGTCGATATTAATGAGATATTTGTATATGTCATTGCCACGAATGTTATGAATGAAAACAATAACAATGAGCCAACATCAATTGAGGAATGTCGGAAACGACATGATCGGCCGAAATGGAATGAAGCAATTTAGACAGAATTAAAACCGCTTAAAAAACGCGATGTTTTTGAACGGATAGTCCCTACGCCAAAAGGCGTAAAACTAGTGGGTTTTAAGTAGGTATTTGTGCGCAAACGCAATGAAAAGAATGAAATCGTAAGATATAAAGTCCGACTTGCTGTCCAAGGTTTTTCTCAAATGTCGGGAATTGATTATGAAAAGACTTATTTTCCAGTAGTTGATGCAACTACATTAAGATTTCATATTGGCATGTCTGTTTTTGAAAGGCTGCAAATGCGCATAATGGATGTAGTGACTACATATTTATACGGTTCACTCGATACATACATTTATATGAAAGTTCCCGGTGGATTTAAAATGCCTGAATCTTATAGTTCGAAACCTCGAGAAATGTTTTCCATTAAATCACAAAAGTCATTGTATGGACTAAAACAATCTGGATGAATGTGGTATAATCGTCTCAGTGAATATATGCTCAAAGAAGGATACAAAAATGATCCAACTAGTCCATGTGTTTTCATTCAGCGATCAAATTCGGAATTCACCATAATTGCAGTGTAAGTTGATGACTTAAACATTTTTGGAAGTATCGATGAAAGTGAAAATAATGCAAAATATCTTATGAAAGAATTTTAAATTAAAGATCTCGTGGGAACCAAATTTTGTCTCGGACTTCAAATTGAGCATTGGAAGAATGAATCTTACATCCATCAATCCAATTACACCGAGAAAGTTTTCAAGAGGTTCTATATGGACAAAGCTCATCCTTTGACTTCACCAATGGTTGTTCGATCTCTCAACATTCACGATGATCCATTCCGTCCCCGAGAAGACAACGGAGAAATTCTCCGTCCCGAAGTACCATATATGAGTGCTATTGGAGCTTTAATGTATTTAGCTAATAATACTAGAGCATATATTGCGTTTTATGTAAATTTATTAGATAGTACAGCTCATGTCCAACAAGGCATCATTGGAGCGGGATCAAGCACATATTCCGTTATCTATATGGTACAGTTGATCTCGGCCTATTCTATCACAAAGATACAAAAGCCGCTTTAATCGGATATGCAAACACTGGATACTTATCAGATCCTCAAAATGGGAAATCACAAACAGGGTACATATTTACTTATGGTAACACAACAATCTCATTGAGATCTATCAAGCAGACATTGACAACTATATCATCAAATCATTATGAATTAATTGCATTATATAAAACCGGGATAGAATGTGTGTGGCTGCGATTCAAAATGAATGTGGTAAGAAGCCTATTACTTTTAATCCTATTGTGATCGACGAAGACAACATTGCGTGCATAGCTCAGATTAAAGAAGGTTACATCAAAGGAGACAGAATGAAACACATAACACCAAAATTCTTCTCTACTCACGATCTAGGGGATAATCAGTATTCAACAAGTCAGATACAGTGAAAATCTAGTTGATCTCTTCACCAAATCTTTACCTCCGAAGAAGTTCATAGAACATGTACTGAAAATCGGCATGTGCCACCTTCAAAATTTATGCTAAGTTCAAGGGGAGTATTTGAATGCACTGCGCTCTTTTTTCCTTCATCAGGTTTTTATCCCACTGGGTTTTTCCTGATAAGATTTTTAACGAGACACTACATCCAAATACAACGACATTATATGTCATAATCTTTACCCCTTAACTTTGGTTTTTACACAGATTTTTCACAATAATAATATACATATTCAAGGGGGGTGTTGTAAAATCCTGAGAATGACACGTGTGAATTGTTCATCCTTGTCATTATTACGACACCAAACTATTCATTATCCTTGTAATGAGCCTACTCATCTAATTCATATCCTTGTAATCATAGATAGACAGGTGGGTAGATCTAATATTGCCAGCAAATTGTGTAGAATCATTCATAGATAAAAAGGGTTTGTTCAATTCTTTGTAAATTCTTTCAGAAAATTTCGTATTAAGAAGAAGAAATCAGAGATTGTTATTAATTTATCTATCTTATAAATCTAGTATTCATCTTCTTCATTTCACAACAGTGCTGAGTATTCCTAATTAACTCGATAAGAGTTTGATTTGATGAGATACTAATAGAGAAATGGCTTTCCGACTAAAAGATCGGCAGAATTTATAAATATTATTATCATTTCGTTATTACTTAAATAGGATTAAACACGTTCTATTTAAGGAATAAAAGACATTTTTCCATTAATTTTACTAAATTAAGTTGAAAAGACCAAAACATGACTTATTTTAAAATTTTCCAAAAAAGTGACATATTGAGTGACTAGTTTCCAGTGACTCGTCATCTATCAATAACTTGTCACGCTGAAATACACTACAATGACTCTTGTCCAGTTACTCGTACACGGTGACTAGTCATATTTTTGTCCAAAAAACATAATTGGTCATTTTTTTGGAAAAACTTTGTTGGTAACATACTCGTACATGTCATTTTTTCCGGAATAAAACATATTTAATCCTATTTTTGAACTTTATCTATATTTTGATCCCACATTGAGCAACTTTTAATAATAATATTGTACCCCTCCTACAAATAATAGAAACTTTCCGGGATATGACTAAAACATATTAAGCAATTCCCCATATATGACTATGCTTGTTTTTAGACATTCGTATGACTGAATAACAAAAAAAATGATGAAAATCTCGTCCTATTAAAATGTTGAAGGACAAAAATAGCCTTATTAAAAAGAGTGCATTTTGCATTGCTTTCATCCAATTAAATATATTGCACTTAATGTTGGTGTTACTACTCAACATTATTGCACTTTCAGTGGGAATCAATGCATGTTCCGCCAACATTACTCTTCTTCCCACCCACGTCGGGATTTTGTGATTGTTTTTTATTTCTTTTTGGATTTGATAAACTTAATATTTTACATCCAATTGAATATAGTGCACTTCATATAACCGGTGCTACTAGTATACTCTACATTACTTCACTTCCAATTATAATCATTGCCCTTCATACCCGCATTACTGCTTATATCACCAACACCAGTATTTCTATCTAAACTATGCTATTGTTCTTCACTAACGCATTTGGTGTCCATGAAACCTTCACTGTCCATTTTGTCATCATCTATTTATATATAGGATTAAATTGTTCCTAAAATTCTTAAATAGGAGTATGTATAATTTTATTCTCTAAATGAGACTAGATTACCCATTTACCCCTGTTTGATTGTTTTTCGCTGCACACTGTCACTCTTCTTTCTCCCCTTCCCTGCGCATCTTATTATTTGTCTCCCTTGCGCATCATTTGTGCATCATTTGCACCTGGCTGCTGGTGCACACCTTCTCCATCTGCCGCATATCCTCTTCTCTTCTCCCTCATACAGGAGACACAAAACGTAGAAGCACAGTAATAGCCATCTCCTCCGTCTTCAGAAAGTTCGCCGCCGTCGCTCGCCGCCGTCGCTCGGTTGTTCTTCTTCACAGGTCTGCTTTTTCTCCGATTTTCTCCATGTCCTTCCTCCCCTCTTCTCTAGTTCTCTCTTCCTCTTCTATTAAGTTACATATGCTAATTGAAACAAAAAATGCCAGATTGAACTCTGAAAATGTCTTTAAAGTGGCATTCTTATTCTTCAAAAAACTTGTTTGACCCTTTGAAAATGCCACTAAGATGACATTCTCGATTTTTGTTGGCATTTTGATACAAAAAATTGGCATTTGCACTGACAACGACCAGATCTAGAACTGTGGAAGACATATTTGCAGCGGCGATGTAGGATTTGTTGCGGCGGTGGCCGGACCTGCAAGGGCAGTGGCCGACAGACGGCAGAGGATAGATTCGGTTACATCTCCGGTGATTCCAGCCAAATCTGAAGCGGCGATGGTCAGATCTGTAAGGCGGTGGTTGGATCTGCAGTGGCGGCCAATTTTGAGGCGGCGGCGATGTCCGGCGACCGGCAGCAACCAACGG